TCTTCGGGGGTAATCACGGAGGTGCAACTTATTTCCACGCACTTGACTGCTGGGGCTTGACAGAGTGCTCCAAGGGTATATACTTATGCCATTTATCTCTATAATATATACTTATGATACTTAGATACATAAATATATATATTTATGTCAGTTACATATGTAACTATATGTATGCACTTGGAACGGTTACATATATAACTATATACTTGTGTCAGTTATGTATATATACACACTTGTATCAGTTCTAAGTCAAAGAAGAGTAGTTTGTTATTATGATTATTATCATGGTGTGATTCTTGGGACTGTTCTGTGCAGGTTCAGGAGTTGGGCTTTGGTGGTCCTACTGGGTCATACAATCACGGAATCATAGAATTAACTGGGTTAGAAAAGGCCTCAAAGATCATTGAGTCCAGCCCTACTGTCATTATCAGACCATGGCACCAAGTGCCACATCCAGTCTCATCTCAAAAACATCCAGGGATGGTGAATCTACCATCTCCCCAGGCAGCCCCTTCCAATGCCTGATTGTTCTTTCCATAAAAAATCTCTTCCTAATATCCAACCTAAACCTCTCCTGGCAGAGCTTGAGTCTGTGCCCTCTTGTCCTCCTGCTGGTTACCTGGGAGAAGAGACTAACCCTCACCTGACTACAACCTCCCTTCAGGTAGTTGTAGAGGGTGATAAGGTCTCCCCTGAGCCTCCTCCAGGCTAAACAGCCCCAGGTCCCTCAGCCTCTCCTCATAGCACTTCTGCTCAAGTCCCTTCCAATTCAGGATGTTTTGTGATTATTTATCCTAAAGTACTTACCTGAAGAAGGGTGTTAGTAGAGAAGTACTTTATGATAAATGTAACCTTGGTGAGTTTGTCACTTATCTAATACCTCTTTGTGTAATGTTATAGGATTGATTGTCTCATTTTTAAATTAGATTTTAGTGCTCAGAACTCTTGAGTTCTCCAAATATATTCTGAATCATGGTTTGCTGTTATTTTACCAGCAATGCTAAGAATGGGATGTTGAGCTCACTTCCACAGAGCTTCCATCTCTCGTGTCCGTTCCAGTGCCACCAGGTTTTGAAATCTGAAGCAGAGTGTGATGCTTAGTATGGAATAAATGCTGTGGAGTGCTTTGGATTTGTACAGCTGAAAGAAGTGTTGCAATTAGCAGCATGAGGAAGGAGTAGTGAGCTGAAGGTCTTCACCACCATGTGTCATGCTAAGTGCTTAAAGCTGTGTGTATCACTAGGTGGTTAAAATAAATGAATGATATTAACATGACTGTCAAAAGCATCTGCCTTTGAGAACCTTAATGAACTATCACATCATCTGGTTGGTGTCCTGAACAAGTATAGTGCAGATATTGGTTACATCAGACCTAAAAACCAAGATTGTACTGTGAGATTAGGAAAAAAAGTCCAACAGTGTTCCTCTGACTTGATTTTCAGATGGTGCTGTCAGAGAAAGTGAACCAGCTGATGGAGTGGGCCAGTAAAAGATCTGTTATCCGAATGAATGGAGACAAATTCCGACGCCTTGTGAAGGCACCACCCAGGAACTACTCGGTGATCGTGATGTTTACTGCCCTTCAGCCTCACAGACAGTGTGTTGTGTGCAAGTACGGCCTCAATTTAGTCCTAAATTAGAACTTGAAAATCATCATGTGCTTTGTAGGAAATTAAATTGAGGATGGGGTTGAACTTTCACATATGTGGGAGGAATATACGTGAGCAAGTTATAGTAGGACTATCTTTGAAATTAAATGTGTGGGAATAGGTGTGTAATGTGTATGTGAGAAAACAACATAGTCCTGAATGTTATCTGCCTTCTGAAATAATCCCTGCTTTGCAGAAGGTGTTCACACTGATAGGCTTCTGCAGCAAGACAGAGTGAAAACTCAGCTTTCCTGATATGAGCTGCTGAAGAAATGTTTGTAGGATCACTGCTGGCCACTGCAGCCTAAAAGTTGCTGTTAATGATTACATTTCTTGTCACTTATTTATTTGCAGTTATAATATCCTGGATCCTTAACCATGTTATGGATTTCCTATATTAATCCTGAGGTGGCAGAGGTCTGTAAGGATGTTTTTTATACCTGGTCAGTTGAAAATATTGGTTTGCCATCCTCTGACATGGGAGAGAGGGCACAGTTGTCCTTGTTTGGACCAGCTGGGTTCCATTCCACATTTCAGTTGGAGATTACCTCTGCTTGTGTTCATGGATTCAACAAATCTCACCTAGCATTTAAAAAATCAGCAGTGCCAAGTGCTTCACCTGATTGCAGAAGTGTTTCTGTCCTTAAACCTGCACTTTAACACCAGAGAACTCCTGTGGGGGGGTGTGCTGCACCTGTTCATGGGGTGAGTGCCTAAAGCTCCTGCAGCTGCTTCATATCTTGTGTGCTGGACAAACACAAGATACAGCTCCTCCCTTGCTGTGTTTTCCAGGCAAGCTGATGAGGAATACCAGATTCTGGCCAACTCCTGGCGATATTCCGGTGCCTTTACCAACAGGATTTTTTTTGCTATGGTAGATTTTGACGAAGGCTCAGATGTGTTCCAGATGGTAATGTCTTTCTTTTTCTCTTCTAACATTATTCTTAACTCGGGGTTTGGAGGCTGAGGGCAAGCACATAAAAAAGGATATATACAAAATGCAGTGTTACAGTGATTAAAGGAACAAAAGTTAAAAGCTGCCAGTCTCAGAAGACAAGGAGAGTGGACAGCTGGAGCATGTTGAGAGGGATATTAACAGAACTGACAAATCTGCAGTAGGGACGAGGAGTGAACTGCCTTCTCTGACTGTTTTTACCCTGTAATAACTTACAGTGTAGTTCTTAATGGAATTCTTCTGTGGTACATGAAGAGGCAAGATGTCAGTAGGAACAGCTATTACAGTTTTTAGATGAGTGGAGGATGATAGATTAGGCTTTTGGTGTGGGTTAACTTAATTCCTTACAAGTACTCAGTCATTTCTATTAACATTATGTGACCACATTTTTTTTTCTAAAGGTGTAAGAACATTCCATATACCCTTTTGTAGGTCACATTAATAGTTCATTATAATCTTGCAGATGTTAACTTTTTTTTAAGAGATACTAATCTCTATTTAACAGCTACGCAATTTGGGCAATTATATGTTATTAAATGGAAGCTTTTGAACTGCAGAGTTGGAGAGGGATGTCTTCATTATTCTTGTGAAACTTTTCCTTAATGTTGTATCAAAAACGCATTCATCAAGCTATGGCCTTTGTAGATTCATAGAATCATATATTCCTGTTCCCTTCCAAAAGTAGTGTTTAGAGAAGAAACAGATGCAAAAAAACTGAAATTATATTGGAAAAGATGTTAGGAAAAGAGCTGCATTTTGCAAACAACTGCTTTTATTTATTATAATCTCCTCTTAACTGGTCTGAAGATTCTGAATGAGCAGTGATAGATCAGAGTATTCACAAAGAATGTCAGTCACTTTGGAAAGCAGTGCTCAGCTGTGCTTATAAAAAGCCTTCTCAGAAGTAAGAATTTTTTTGTAAGAACAGCTAGTGACAGAGCTAAAAAAAAATTGTTCCTCAGTCCTAAAAGGAGAAAACATTCTGGAACACTGAAGGGAGATTGCAGGGGTATGTTGATTACTCATATGAAATGCAGAATTGCAAGTTACTGTGTGCTGTCTTTATTTTGTTGTTGCCAACGAAATCTGTTGGTTGAAGAGTTACTTTTTGTGATTTAGTTATGATATTACAAAACAGAAATGGAACAGAATTGTGTTACTAAACAGACCTTTTGTGAACTTTCTCAATGCAGCTGAACATGAACTCTGCTCCGACCTTCATTAACTTCCCTGCCAAAGGGAAGCCCAAGCGAGGGGACACGTATGAGCTGCAGGTGAGAGGCTTCGCGGCGGAGCAGCTCGCCCGGTGGGTGGCTGACAGGACAGATGTCCACGTGAGTACAGACACACCTTCCCCCCCAGCACTCCCTTACTGGGCAGAGCCACCTGCAGCATGTCGCTTGTGTTCTGTGGTTAATCATCTGCTCTGTATAGCTCTTGTCTACAAAGTCTAGTT